TCTCTAACTCCTCTTCGTTAATGCTAATACTACTATGCCCTCTGCAAATTTATGGATACTAATCTCTTGCCCCTGCATATCTATCCCTAAAATTACCCTGCCTTTAATGATGTTTATCGCGTCGTCGATGTATAGATCAAAAAGTCCCTGTCTGGCTGGCTTCCTTCTTAATATTGACTTCGTTTTAAGTTGCCGCTCAAGCTCTATAACTTCCTGTTGCTCTTTATACAAACTATATATCACTCTTCTATCAGTGTATCTCATCCATATATTTTTATGTAAATTTAACATCTTGTCCTATTTAACATTGTCAAAAGCTTTTTATAAATTTACGAATCCTATGTACGCGCCACCCTCTTCTTTTATGTTTTTTTTTTTTTTAATAACGTCTCAAAGAAAAGTTTTGTTTCGTCAATGATAACGCAACCTTTTAACTAAATTTTTTCTGTAAGTTAACTATGTAACAACATTATACACGGCACTCAAAAGACTAATAATCTGAATATTGAAAACTTCAGTTGACAAATAGTTTCTTAGTTTAAATTGAACACTCTGTATATTTTCACATATTACTTTGTCATAAAAGTGGTTTTTATGTCACCATTCTGTAAGACACCTTTCACTTGCTGTATTACTCAACCCCCTTGCCATTTGCAATTTTGGGGGTAGTTTTTGTCGTGGTCACGGTGTCAAGAAAATCACTATAAATTTATATCATGAAACCTTCTCCTTCAAAACTAAATTTGTCTAAATGTCCAACCATTTTCGCATTACTTCTTCACGAACCGAAAAATTAGTTCTGTTTCGTATTCGTAGGCGCACCCTCTATATCTCGTTTAATCACAATCCTAATCAGAAAAGGTAGACACAAGCCGTGATATTAATTTTGCACAATATGTACGTTCCAGCTGTTTTGCAAGATAAGCTATTTCTCATGTATCGTAACCCAGACCCTAATTCAGAAATCTCAGCCAGTATGCTCTCTTGATTTCGAATAGACTACTACGATTTACATGTAAATTATCTTGAGGAATTATACAAAATATTATTGAAACCGTATTCCTAAATCCTCCCCCTTTATCTGTATTTGATTTAGACTTGATTTTATTGATATCTTAAGTATTTTATTCCTTTTTGTTCAATAAGTCAGTAATTAAATATTATATAAGGTCAGTATTAAAAACCATACGGTCAGTATCCTTTGGGGTCTTTTTATACCTACATTAGTGTTGTATTATCTATAAAGAATACATTTGTTGCAAATATAAATATTACTAAAAGTAATTAATTGTGTTTTAATGCGATTTATATATTTATTTTTCGTAAATTAATAGCTGTATTTGCTATTTTTTATTATAAAATAATTTAAGAAAAAGTGATTATAGAATTGCTTTTCGATCCAATTTATGAAAGCTTTTCTGTAACTTTTCTTTGAGATTGAATTAAATAATATTGATAGCCTGTCACAATCTTTCAGACTAAAAGGCTAATTTTGTAATCCGGCCTTTTATTTTCACAAAATAAATTGAAATGTATTAACCTCCTAAAATGTCAATAAACAAGGAAAAGTATTTTAATGTGCCCTACTGAATAATCTGTGAAAGTGAAACTCGATACGGAAACTTAAACTTTAAAACTGTTTTATTTTTATCAACTGATACTAATCAGTTCCTGTCTTAAAGCTTATAAAAACTTATAACATAATCAACCAATCAACAAAATGTATACTTAATAAAATGGAATAAAATCTGAGATTTCAATTTATCCCAGAATTTAATGGGTACTACTTTTTTGTTGTACGCGTGAAGTGTGTTGTCTGGAAATACAAAAATTAAAATTTTTACGGTTATGAAATGAAAAGATCTATTTTTACCTAGGGAATGTTAAAAATAAGGAATATTCAAATTTCTCATTTTATTTCGGATGTTTTAAGCAGAGATATTTTGTTTCTTAAATTACAGNGTGTTGTCTGGAAATACAAAAATTAAAATTTTTACGGTTATGAAATGAAAAGATCTATTTTTACCTAGGGAATGTTAAAAATAAGGAATATTCAAATTTCTCATTTTATTTCGGATGTTTTAAGCAGAGATATTTTGTTTCTTAAATTACAGTAGGTACATAAATAAGCTCGGGGTCGATTTGGAGTCCTGTATCTTAATAAATGAGGCGTGAGGGGTAGAAGGAGGAGAGAGGCTAGGAAAATTACATTACCCCCTGAAAGGGAGTGCAGAAGCAGGCATGACAAATCATGTGGATAGTTGACCATAGGGGAGATGCTGGATGATCAGAAAAACGTGTACCGGAGAAAACAATCGGGTAATTCTTTACATTAGTTGACATTGGAATTGAGACATGAAGTTTAGTCAGGTAGGTAGTACTCACCAAGTGAAGTAGTGTAGTAGTATTTACTAGAATTTTGTTTATTATTTGTTTAAAAATGAATGTGAGTGAGATACAGGCCCTTAAAGTTTTCTTAATCGGAGGAAATACCGGTAGGTACGGCCCTGGCTTCAGCCTTCCGTCAGCTGTTCCCGCCAAACATCGTTTGTCCTAAAACATATCTTCCTAACATTATTCTAATGTATCAACCCGCCTTCGGCGGGCAGGGGCATTAAACAAGCTCGAGTCTGTCATACATCTACCTAACTAAACAATGACGTCATCAATGCATATTTGGCGAGAACAGCTGACGAAGGGCTGCAGCCAGGGCCGTACCAATCGAAATTTCCTCCGATTAAATAACTTTAGGAGCCTGTATCTCAAGCTACATTGATTTCCGCACGGAATTAATGCTACCACACGATTCTACTTGGTCAGTACTACCTACCTAACAAAACTTCATGTCTCAATTCCAATGTCAACTAATGTAAAGAATTACCAACAATCGTAAATAAGAAAATGTTATAAGCATAAAAAATGTAATATAGTGTTATTGAAATTGTTATTATAAACCCTTACTCATCATCATCATCATAAGGTCGTCAGTCCTAAGAATGGTTAGACACGCACTTCCACTCTTTCCTATCCTGAGCTAAACTTCGCATTTCCCTAAAACTAGAACAACCCATTTTCCAATTTCCCTACTTGCCTCATTGTCTTAACATTCCACGCTCCGACTCGTGAAATATTGCACCTACCCCTATTGTATTTATTGATGACATCTCCCGAGGTAGTCCCTGCCCGGACATCCGAATAGGGGACTAGTTTACGTCCGGAGTGCGTTACCCCAGAGGACGTCATCATTTAATTTATGCAGTACATTTTACTCGAGATCATAATATGGTGATTTCCCGTTGCCTTCTACGTCGCAGTATTGTGCATCAGAGTGCCATACCGATCCTCGTGATCTCTGCCACCCTGAGTACTGAAAGAGCTGCTGCCCTCTTTCAGGGACTTGTCTTAGTCTGGTTTCTCTTTAACAACCCCTCCCCATTATGATATAACCTATGGTCCGGCTCCCTAAATCATCGAAACTCGCAAGCCGATTCACCCACTCTAGATTGTATAAGAGTTTCGTGAAGGTTCAAGTCCTGTCGGATCGGACCCTTAGAGAATAGAATGTAATACTCATATTATATAGGGACGCAGGAATTTTTTTATTACCATCGCATTGAAAAAATACAAAACCTTTGATTTGGACGAAGTAATAGATATTTTTGCACCATTAAATAAAAACGCCGCATAGTTTTGCATTAAGCAAAGCGTCTTGAGTTATGTTATGTTGGATGAAAAGCAAACAATACTTCCGAATTGCTGTTAACTAATATATGTATAGGTGCCCATTTTTACAAAATTTATAATAAAACTGTAAATTAATTTTTAAATTTAATCCGATAATTTTGTCTTAAGGGAGGATTCTATCCATAAATATATACATGTAGATTATAGAAGCGTATTAATCCTCGAAACAAATAGGCAAGGTAACCGGTTATAAGAAAAGCCCATTAAAAAGATTAAGACAAAGGCAAACAAAACCACTTGAAGAAAAGGATATGATTGTCGGGCTATTAAAATAAAACAGAATTAAATTGTACAATTTAGATAACCACGAGAGAAAAATCTGTACAAAAGACTATCAATTCATTGCTTTATTCATATTGTTGCAATATGTCCCTAGTTTTTATTAAGAAGCATCTTCTTGACCATATTTACCTTTTATTACATTTTTATATTATCATCTTTCGGAAAATTTAATTGAAAACTGAACAACACAACAACAAAGTTTTCTGTCCACATTTTTAATAATAAAAATCAGAAGTCGTATATAATGTACGGTACACAACGGAAAAATACTCAGATTGGACAAATAACCAAAACAAAGTAAAAAACATTCATTTACATAAACAATATTTAGTATTTATAACTATAAAATTCCTTTCACCGATGCTCTGCAACAACTTTAATACATTTTGGTAATTTTAGCTCGTTTAATAAGGAAGAAACTTATTTTAAATTTAAATAAAGGAAGAAAAATGAATCCTACATTACCAATGTACCTAGGATCGATAAATTGAAAAGAGCAACAACCCTAAACACTAAGAGAGATCTCCGTAGGCAAATAGTTCAAAGTACTAAAACAATTACGATTTTATTTTATTATTAATAAGAAAAAATAAACTTCTACCTTTCTATACAAGTCTAATAAAGTGCAGTCCAAAATATTCTTTTGGCAGTGGTTTATAAGGAATTTTCCTTCATTGGCAAATCGTTCGGATTGCCAAAAGAACAACAATATAGTTTATAGTCTTCAATAAATTAAAAAAGTAATGTGATTCACAACCGCACAAATATACAGGTTACCTACTCGCAGAAAACTTGTTTTCATAAACATGTACTATTTCAAGAAAAAACTTAAAAAAAACGAAAATACATGCATTCTTACTGTGACCTACGCAAATATGAAATACTTTAAATTGCATTTACCGCATGCTAGGTACTTTTATTAAAGAAAACCACTAGATTATAGTACATATTAAATTAAACATATATTTGTACAATTACATTGCATTTTAACGCCGTTAATTGCTTAGCATTTTTTAAATTTACGTGTTTTCGATAACAGTGCTGTAAAAATCGAATAATTTGATTTTATCACGTTCGGTAATTTTTAAGTCGAGAAGATACAGTGTTGTGAAAATGTAAATTAAAATGCACATTGCCATTGCCAAGACTAAAATAGTAAGAAGATACATAAGTTTACCAAACTAAAATTTTTTAATCGCTATTGTTTTTCTTTCTTGTAGGTCTTATGATATTATTGCATCCTAATCAATCGAAGCAATTGAAACTAGAAACGCGAGATAGATGGTGAAGTTTATTTTAGCAGATTCAACTCAAAATTTCTCCACAAAACAAGTAATATTTTTTTCTATTTCCTATTTTATTAATACTCTGTATGAATGGTTTTTAAACGCGGTGATGTTTTTTTTTTTACTTTTATATAATATTACCTACGAAATAAGAGTATAAAAAATAAGAAACCGTTTGCAACTTTTAAAAAGTTTGAAATTTTGAAAGTTCTCTCATCTCTCGGCTAAGTATTGAACTGCCGAGTTGAATAAGTTGCAATGTAATTTTCGTTTGTCATTCATTCATCATACCGTTAACAGATGACACTAAGATGATAGAGCATCCGTAGACAAAAGAGAGCATCCTAATTTCTCTGTTTATAAAGAATAGTTATAAAATAATTATTTGTTATTTCTTGCGACCATTAAATACCCATATTTTTTCCTAGATAAAATAATTATAAGGGCTGTTGTATCATCGCCCCTGTTTTCTATTAAGTTACACATTTCTATGATTACTACAACCTGTTGAATATTAATATCTCTATAGTTAGTGTGGGAACGTGACTTCAAATGTCAAGTCAACCTGCTGTTGAGTTTTTATATCGTTTTGTATTATGATTTGTAAGTAGTGAAAGTTAGTCGTTTCGTAAAATTTATAGTTAAATTTTTCCTGTATTGATATAAAAAAAATCCGTTTTCGTCTGCGTTCTACTGCTGGTGTCTAGAAAGGGTTTGAGTTAGTGTATTGTGCATGTGTATGTTTACAATTTTCGAAAATCTATATTATGAAAATAAACAAATATCGAGAACAACTTATTCTGTTTTGTGATACAAACCAAAGGATACTTATAAACTGTTCGTGAAAGGAGGTTATTGTGATTAAAATGCATTTTGCACGAAGAAATGTAAATTGATAGGTGCTGCTTTGTACTTGATAATTGCCCAGACAAGAAACCCTAAACAAAATGCCTAAGAAAAAATGAGCGATGAGGATAGCTTGGTCAGTATAATAATAACATTTGGTTGTTTTAGTTTCACTTGCTAATCATAAATTTAATCCTGGAAACTCAGTTTATTTATAAACTCTCAGCCATAAAATGGAACTGAAAATATGGCAGCAAAGTGTGGATACAATACGTTTTTATTTACCTAACTTGTTAACTTGTTATTACTATATTTAAACTTGTTTGCACGTTTTCAATTAATAACAACAAAAGCAAAATGAATAACTTAATGTGATAATGTCCACTTTGTGTCAGTGTGTCACAAACGAATAGGTATCTATTCATACACAATAAATCTTAAAGTACCTAGTATACCTTTATTAGAAACCGACACACTTAAATGAAAAAATGTTTCATTCATATTTTATTGTGGCACCAAAAAAACTTGATTTTATTTAGCTGTAGAGAATGTAAGATACTTGTCTACAAGTAGGTGGTCTAGAAAAAACATTTTTCCCACCAGAACATTTAATTGATTTTAAATAAATACCATAATTCAAATATTCCTATTAAAAATTTTACATTTTCTGTTATTACCTAGGTACCTGTTATACAAGGCATAATTTTAAAATTTAACAATGGGTGTTTTGAGTTATGCTGTTCATTCAAATTAAAGGAAACATGTATGTAATTAAAAAATACAAAAAGTCGACAGATGCTTAAAAAGTGGCATTTAATAAAAGAATAATTTGTAATTGTTCACAACATTAAAAAAAATCATTAAAATAATGAAAGAATAACTAGTACATATTTCCAATGACTACAGAAAATCAGCATCTTGTTTTCTTTGGTGCATTGCATTAATCAATAATATGCATTAGATGAAGATACTTTTATATAACTGTACATAAGTACAAATTAATAATCTGGATTCCCAGTTAAAGTACCTACAAACTACCAAACGAACCGTTACTGTATTATAGTGAATGTAATTAAAAAAAACTGTCGATTGCCTGATTATTCTTAAAAAGAGAAACTTATTATTTATATCGATACGATAGAAAAAATAGGGTACATTTTTTATTTAATAAAACTTTCTCCGATAAATTTTCAACTTGTAAGCATCTACGTCTGCGATAAGTAGCGCTTGAGAAATGTATGAAATCGCGATAAAAACAATTTGCGCATGCACGTGTATTTATGTTCTGTATGATCTCGTTCTTGAAATTAATAAACCCAATCGGATTTTTCATTGGTAAATTACATGTATGTAGGAATAACAAGAATGGAACGCTGTGCGTTCAGCTTATTTCGTTAAATGCAATTTACAATTTGTGCGATTTAACATTAGTGTATCTCGGCAATCGGGAGGAGCGGCTTGTCTGTATCAACTAGCTCGTGCTATAAAAAGGTCAGAGTGTGTGTTAGTTATCGATCCAGCTAAATTCAACATTTATTTTACTCCAAATAACTTTTTTACAATTTAATTACTAGTAATAATTGTTTTAATCCGTGCAAAAATTATTTTTAAAAATAGTTCTATAAGTCCAAAAATAAATTGCGAAATTGATGGGTAGTTTTCACTATTTTATTGATAAAAAGAGCAACATTATGTGTGTAGGTACATCAAAAAGTTAAAAAAACTGCTACACGTGATAATTTAAAAACCGTAAGAAAAAAGAACAAACTATTACATTACCATTAGATTTTTGCTTGTAATTTTATTGAAATTGATGATTTTAAAATCGGTGAAATTTAATGTTGTTGCCCACCGATTATTCAAGTGCACCCTTTCAAGATAAATGCGCTAAAGATGATTGGGAAATAGAAAATAATGCAAAACGAGATTTATCTCCAAGCAATAAATTTCGATTCTATGTTTGTGGATCAAGCAACAGTAACAAAAACGGCAAGAAGTCGTCCACAAAGTGGTATGTAAAGGTACGGTAATTATTCAATTAATTAATTAGATTTCTCTTACGTACATTCATACGTAAATTTAATTAAGAAATTTTGATCAAAAGAAAATTGTACTTGTCCGCCTCTTAAAATTAGTGTAATTCATTTTTTTTATGCAATATACATTTGTCAATATGCGATTATGCTATTGAATAATCAAGATTGTCTCTTAGTTTTATCACTTTATACATAGTGGTCCTTTTATCTCTATTTGCACTTCAAATAAGAGTGTACAATAGAAAGGCTTCTTGTACGAGTTGGTCACGCTAATGGGCTAAAAAATATTTTTAAGGGAACTGTATGCATTTTGTAAAAAGTGTAGAATTTGATAAAAATTGAATTCACCAGATCATAAAAATCACAGCATACAATTAGAGAGGAAAATGTTTTGTTTTTGTTTATCAGTTGCTGTTTTGAAAATTCCACCTTATGAATCATAAAAAGTGCATCTTACAGCATTTACTAGCTCAGTTATTCTGCTTCTCTTTGTTTAAAAACTCTTTTTTTCTTTACGTGTATAGGTATGCTACTTTAGCAATTATTTCATTTCATGGAAATTGACTACTCCTGATATAATTGCGCGGTAATTAAATACTATCAAAGAATTTCCTCGAAACTTTTTATGAGAACTTCGTTACTACTTGTTACAAACTGTATTCCACCATCAGCCTCAAAAACTTGATAGCTTTTCATAAAGATACTATAATGGGTGCCCAGACTATATAAAACTAGACATTTATTGTCTTTATTAAGTTTTCCGTTGAGAAAAACTATTCATTAATGCAATGTCTTTATTTCCATTTCGGGAAATCTTTTGTGTTAACACAGGCAATATTTTTTTGGTATAATTTATTTATTTAAAGTTAAGAAGAGAATAAATACTTACTATAATTTATTTAAATTCACAGTATTCTATTTGTTTCAGCAGCCAACATGGCGTCTTTGGGGAGAAGAAAGGTCCGAAGGAGCAGTATACACAGTTTACCTAAAAAAGGTCCGGTACCATCGTCCAACCAGAAACATATCAACATCAAACTCGGTAACTATAACAAATCCATTAAAAAATCGATTAATCAACGTTAATAACAATTGCAGTTTTTGTCTAATCATTATTTCATTTTTTGAAGCGAATACTTTTATTGTTGATGATAACTTTTGTAAAAAAAATTCCATTTAACTGATCTATAAAAAAAAAATAAATTGACCATACGTGTAACAACCAGCAGTAGATAATTACGCGCCTTTTTTCATGAGCTTGCGTGTATTTATTTATTGAACAAAAGTAGTCAATTCAAGGTTCTTAGTAATACCATTACCGTGAAACCGTATTTGAAATATGGTACATCGTATTATATCCATTTTAGAAACATTTCAAATCTATTGTACCTTTGAGAACATGTAGTATGATGCATACAAGGTAGTTACTAACAATTACCACTGTAAATACTTTATTGTTTATAAGGTATAAAGCAGAATAATAAAAAGAATTATGAAATAAATAAATAATAA